TGCACAAAAGACCCTTGTATGATATTTTCCATATAAGACCATTTGTATGGGTCTTCTCTCGAATGGTATTCTCTTCATAAAAGTTTATGGTCTTCTCTTCCAAAGAATGGCATTTCGATGACTGAAAGGTCTTTTTACTACAGAAGACCAGTTGGGCGATCTTCTTTCCATAGAAGACCTTTATATGGTCTTCTCTCCAAAGAAGACAATTTGGGGGATCTTATATCTAAAAGAAGATTAATTTTACGGAACTTCCTAGAGCGTAATTTGAAAATCGTTTAAATTGGCTTTTCTCCACCGAATATGAGCTTCTTTGCATGAAAGATCCTTGTGTGGTATTTTCCACATAAGACTTTTCTAAGGAGAGAAGACAAGAGAGAATTCTAAAAAGTCGTCTTCTATAGAGTAAACATCGCGGGAGGAGAGAAATTCATAAAAATACTCTTTTTCCGAGAGAATATCCATCCCCATCTTCTCTCGGAAAAAGAGTCTTTTTATGAAATTCTCTTCTCCCACGATGTTTATTCTGTAGAAGAAGACTTTTTAGAATTCTCTCTTGTCATCTCTCCTTAGAAAAGAGTTGGATGGTCTTCCCTTCAAAAAAGACAAGTTTATGGTCTTATGCGCAAAAGAGTGACATTTCGATGACTGAAAGGTCTTTTCACCACTGAAGACCAGTTGGGCGATCTTCTTTCCATAGAAGACTTTTATATGATCTTCCCTCCAAAGAAGACAATTTCGATGGCTTTTCTACCATGAAAGTCTAATTGGGGGATCTTATATCTAAAAGAAGATTAATTTTACGGAACTTTCTTGAGCTTAATTTGAAAATCGTTTAAATTGGCCTTTCTGAACCGAATAGGAGCTTCTTAGCATGAAAGATCCTTGTGTGGTATTTTCCACATAAGACCATGGGGATAGATCTTCTCTCGGAAAAAGAGTATTTTTATGAAATTCTCTCCTCTCCCACGATGTTTACTCTATAGAATTCTCTCTTGTCTTCTCTCCTTAGAAAAGAGTTGCATGGTCTTCCCTTCAAAAAAGACAAGTTTATGGTATTCTCTGCCAAAGAGTGACATTTCGATGACTGAAAGGTCTTTTCACCACTGAAGACCAGTTGGGCGATCTTCTTTCCATAGAAGTCCTTTGTATGGTCTTCACTGCAAAAGAAGACAATTTTGATGGTTTTTCCATGGAAGCTCTATTGCGTGGTCTTATCTCCGAAAAAGATTATTTTTCTGGAATTCTCTTTGTGGAGGTTCAAAAAAAATCGTTTAAATTGTCTTTTCTTCACCGAAGACGAGCTTCTTTGCATGAAAGATCCTTGTGTGGTATTTTTCACATAAGACCATGGGGATGAAGCTTTTCTCAAAAAAGAGCATTTTTATGAAATTTTCTCCTCCCATTATATTTACTCTATGGAAGACGACTTTTTAGAATTCTCTCTTCTCCAACAAATACCAGTTGAAGCTTCTCTGGGGATGAAGCTTCTCTCAAAAAGAGCATTTTTATGAAATTTTCTCCTCCCATTATATTTACTCTATGGAAGACGACTTCTCTAGAATTTTCTCTTCTCCAACAAATACCATTTGGATTGTCTTCTCTCCTTAGAAAATAGTTGGATTGTCGTCACTCCATAAAATACATGTTTATTGCCTTCTCCCCCAAATAATGACATTTCGATGACTGAAAGGTCTTATCACCATAGAAGACCATTTGGGCAATCTTCGTTCCATAGACGACCTTCGTATGGCCTTCTCTCCAAAGAAGACAATTTTTATTATTTTTCTTCCATGGAAGCCCAATTGCGTGGTCTTGTCTCCGAAAAAAGATTATTTTTATAGAATTCTCTTCGTGGAGGTTCATTTGAATTCTAAATTGTCTATTCTCCACCGAAGACGAGCTTCTTTGCATGAAAGACCCTTATGTGGTATTTTCTTTCATGGGAATGTAGCTTCTCTCTCAAAAAAAAGTATTTTTATGAAATTCTCTCCTTTTATGATATTTCACACGTAGAAGGCGGCTTTGTAGTGTTCTCCCTTCTAAAACAAATTTCAGTTGAATTGTCTTCTCTCCTTAGAAAATAGTTGGATTGTCGTCTCTCCATAAAATACAAGTTTATTGCCTTCTCCCCCAAAAAATAATGACATTTCGATGACTGAAAGGTCTTTTCACCATAGAAGACCATCTGGGCAATCTTCTTTCCATAGAAAATCTTTGTATGGCCTTCTCTCCGAAGAAGGTAATTTCGATGGTTTTTATTCCATGGATGTCCAATTGGATGTTCATATATCTAAAAAAAAAGATAAATTTTATGGAACATCCTAGAGGTTAATTTAAAAATTTTTAAAATTGACTGTTCTCTGTTGAAGTCTAGCTTCTTTGCATGAAAGACTCTTGTGTCGGTGTAGTCCGCCATAAAAGCCGATGGTCGCTCTCCACTCGTATTAATCGACCGTGGCCTCAAAATAAATCCCAAATATTATCGCGAAAATATTCTGGAGGGTGTATTAAAGCCTTGGGCACGCAAACATTTTGGCCGCAGACCTGGGACATTCCAACAGGACTCAGCACCATTGCACTCAGCATGCGCCACCCAAGAATGGTTATAAAATGAGGTTCATCGCTTCATTTTCAGCGCAAAATGGCCACCAAATAAATGTCTGGAGTATTTTGGAAAGCAGGGTTGGCACTAAAAATACCAAAGTGTCGATCACCACAAGCAAGCGCTTCGCCGGGAATGGGCCAAAATACCGCAGAGCAACATTCGTGTTGCGTATGTCGGTTTCATTGTCGGTTTGAAGCCCATTAATCGTGCCAAAGGTGACCAATTCGAACAAATCTAAACTTATTCTAAAATTTGATGCTATTTCCAAAATTTTTTGCTTTCAGTCAATAAAATTTAAAAAAAATGTAAGTATTATGTCGTTTAACTTTGTTGCAGTTTTTTTATCTCACCCTGTATATGAGATCTATATCCAAATCTGAAGCGATTTTGATAAGATTTGACAGAGGTATTTCTGGGCTGTATCTGATATCGATTACCAAAGATAATTGTTGTGGAGGGCAGAATATCCAATTGGATAAAACATATAAATATGGGAGCTATAGCTATATCTGAACCGATTCTCATCAATTTCAATAGGGTTCGACCTTGGGCCAAACAAATATTTTTTGGAAAATTCCATCTAAATCGCATAATAAATGTGACCTTCATTTTGTTCACAAAAATACATGGACGGACGGACGGACAGACTGACTGACATGCACAAATCGACTCAGAAAGTGATTCTACCAAGATCTTCAAAATTAACTATGGGTCTATCACGCTTCCTTCCCCATGTTACAAACAAATTCGCATAGACATAATACCCTTACCACTCACTATGTGGTGTAGGGTATAAAAATATTGAGCATAATTTGAAGCACAAAATTTATTTCATTCATAACAAGTAAAAAAGCTGTAAGTTCGGCCAGACCGAAATTTTAATACCCTCCATCATTTGGTAAAAATTTGGCGATTTCCAAAAAAAAAAAAAAAAAATTAAAAATAAAATAAATAAAATAAAATCCGTGAAAAATTCTGTTAAAATCTTAAAAATACCGAATGCCTATACGACGACGTGGACCTTCATAGGCATCTTTTGTCATAAGTTATTACAATATTTACATGCGAAACTTGAAGAAAAATCTATTTATGATGTAGCAAAAATCATCAAAATGCCGAATATAAGGGGTACTGTTATGCGGGGGCTATACGAAGACATGGACCTGCACAGACAATTTTCTGGCATGGGCTGAACTATCCATTACGAACTTCACATGCGAAATTTTAAACAATCTCCGTAAATAATGTCGCTCTAATCATTAAAATGCCGAATTTCGGGGGGCTACGGTATATGGGGGCTATACGAAGACGAGGACCTACATGACTCATTTTTTGACTTAGGATGTAGTATACATTACGAACTTCAAATACGAAATTTGAAATGATTCCGGTAAATAATGTCGCTAAAATCATAAAAATACCGAATATCGGGGGGTACCGTTATATGGGGGCTATACGAAGACGTGGACCTACATAGCCCATTTTCTGTTTTATGCTGTAGTATCCATTACGAATTTCAAATACCAAATTTGGAACGATTCCGTTAAATAATGTCGCTAAAATCATAAAAATACCGAATATCGGGGGTTACCGTTATATGGGGGCTATATGAAGACGTGGACCTACATGACTCATTTTTTGACTAAGGATGTAGTATACATTACGAACTTCAAATACCAAATTTGAAATGATTCTGGTAAATAATGTCGCTAAATCATAAAAATACCGAATATCGGGATACCGTTATATGGGGGCTATATGATAACACGGACCTACATGGCCCATTTACGAACTTAACCTGCCTACTAGAAAAATATACATGTGTGCACAATTTTAGCCTTCTATCTCAATTTGTTCGAAAGATAGCGTGATTACAATAGACAGACGGGCAGACAGACAGACAGACGGACATGGCTAAATCGTCTTAGAATTTTAAGCTGATCAAGAATATATATACTTTGTTGGGTCTGACATGAGTATTTCGAGGAGTTACAAACGGAATGACAAAATTAATATACCCTCCATAGTATGGTGGAGGGTATAAAAAGGGGAAGTAAGTGCCATAAAATTTGTTCGAAAATCTCGTAAATCCCATGGTCATCTGTCACATAGTTCACTGGTGCACTGGTGTTGTTGGTGTGGCAAACATACAACAAAAGGTCAGACATACCAACCGACAGACAGAGAGAGAGAGAGAGACGAATGGTCAACAAAATTGGTAATTCTATCTAAAGTTGGCAGGGTTAGATATCTCTTGGCTTAGAGCTAGAGTGTGGTTAAAAGGATTGATTAGATTCTATACAATAGCAGGAGAAAGGAGGTGAGTAAAGAAATGGAAGGGAAAAGGGAACTGAAATGAATGCAAAAAAACGGAAAAAATATGGAAACTTACCCCCTTTGAAATAAATCCACATTGAAGAATTTATATAATTCCACAGAAAATTCAATTGTTGCTTGTAAATCACCCATTACGCTTCAAAGAATCGAGAATTGCCAGGCAACAGTGAAGAACTATGGACAATCGTTGGCCGAAGAGAGATGGAGAGAGTGACGGAGTGACGGAGTGAGAATGTTGAATTCTGCTAAAAAGATGCTGAGTTTATAGTTGATGTTGTTGGTTGTGGGTTGTGATGCTGGCACAATGGACAAGTATTATTGTGCTTGATGTTGTTGCTGTTGCTGTTGTTGGGTTTTCACTTTTTCAACTGCTCTGTGCCATTGTCACAGAGGGCACCACCATCATCGTCATCATCGTTTTTCTTGTTGTTGCTGCTGCTGATGCCATTATAATTGTCATGTTGATGATGATGATGATGTAGATCGTCCTCATTGTCGTTTTTATGATGTCGTCAAACCAAACAATCCAACTGAACCGGTAACTAAATAAACATTCAGTCATCCGCAACTATAGTTGTTGTCGTTGTTGCTTTTGTCGTCGTCGTCGTTACCATTTCAGATGATTATGAATATTGGGGGGGAGGATGAGGCGTGCGTATCTGCCAAGTCCTATGGTTAAATGCTTTGGTGTGCTCTATAATGTCTGATTTTTGATCTCTGCCAAGCTCTCTCACTAGATTCATATGTGAGCATACAAACACATATTGTTGTTGTTACTGCTGTTGTTGTAGAGCATGGTTAAAGGTTGGTTCATTGCAAGGATATGTTGATGGCTACACATTCATACAGACATATCGACACTGTGTCTATACACACATACACAACAATTTTCAACACAACCAGACCGTTCAGATTACTAACCAGGTTTGCAGTTGTCGTCGTAGTTGGGTCCCAGAAAGAAAAAAAAAAACAACAACGAACACTGAAGAGTACTTCAGTCAAAACTGTTTACGTTTGTACTTAACATTATATAACGACATAATGACATCTAATGGCAAGATATGTATGAACCGTACAGATTCATATGTACAGATGTTGGAGAGCTGAATTTTATTGTGGCAAACCTTTTGGGTGGCTTGTAACGCGGGGAGAGAGAGTCGGAGGACTTCTAGTGCCAGATAATTTTTTGCTCTCCCTCTCTGAGTGTCACTTGTTTTCACTTAGCCAGCTGTGGTTCAACTACTTGTTCCAGCCTCGTTTCCTCGGGCTTAAGTACGACCTCTATTTGCTACAGTCAGTCAGTCAGCAAATAATCGCAACAAATCTAATGTTTAACATTTGACATTGCACATCGATGTTTGTCTCTGATGGTTTTGTTGCGCCGTGGAAATGGAATCAAATAGTGTTCAGGTTTTCTATCACACGGTTTTGTTTTTTCCTCACATTTCTATGAAGGATTCCCTTGGGATATGAAACATCCTGTCATATGAAAGTATCTTCGTCTTTGTGTGGGCAAATATGCTTGATGATGTTGTCACAGCTGGTTGTTTGCTTTGCTGGAAAATTAAATATTTTTTAACGGTGCTGTTTTTGGATGCCTTCGATTTTTTCCTTCAAATCTTTCGGCGGATCCAAGGATCTGTTAAAGTTTCTTGAAAACGACAATCACAAGTTTTTGTTGACTTTCTGTAAGAAAAAGAGATAGAAAAGGAAGGGGAATTAATAAGAATGAAGAGTGGTGTTTGATTTTAAGATAAGATTTAATATTTCAATATATTCAGGTAGGAGGAGGACTTTTAGGCTCATATAAATGTATGTATCATAAACAAGTTAAAAAGCTGTACTTTCGGCCGGGCCGAAATTTGAATACTCTCCACCATTTGAAACGAATTTGGCAATTCTTCCAAAAAAAAAAAAAAAAATAAATAAAATAAAATCTGTTAAAAATTCTGTTTAAATCTTAACCAGTAAAGAAAGTCTTCAAGTCGGGCGGGGCCGACTTTATGATACCCTGCACCACTTTGCTAATTAAGTAGAGCTCCACATAACAATTAAAAGTTTTTATGGGAGAATTCAATCATACACGCTATGATTATAGCATTTGTATCTTTTAAATTCGGAATTGTATTGCCCATTTGGTGCACAATTAATTTGAAATCGGATAAAGATATATATGGGAGCTATATCCAAATCTGAACCGATCTCGATAAAATTTGGCAAAGATATTTCTGAGCTGTATTTGATATATTTCCCTGAATATCGTTGTTACGGAGTGCATATTACGGCTGTGGGTAACAAATATGACAAATCGGATGAACAGTATATATGGGAGCTATATCTGAACCGATCTTCACCAAATTTGACATACTAGCTTCTAGACTCAATTCGGTCGTATGTGCCAAATTCCATCCCATTTGGACAAATATTAGACGTTTGGTGCACAATAAAAGGTAAATCGGACGAAGTTATATATGGGAGCTATATCCAAATCTGAACCGATCTCGATAAAATTTAGCAAATGTATTTCTGAGCTGTATTTGATATATTTCCCCAAATATTGTTGTTGTAGAGTGCATATTACGGCGGCGGTGGACAAAAATAACAAATCGGATGAACAATATATATGGGAGCTATAGCTATATCTAAACCGATTTCGATCAAATTTGGCAGGCCTAATTTGGGTGTATATGCAAAATTCCATACTATTCGGGCTGATGTTACACGTTTGGTGCACAATAAAAGGCAAATCGGACGAAGATATATATGGGAGCTATATCCAAATCTGAACCGATCTCGATAACATTAAGCAAATGTACTTCTGAGATGTATTTGATATATTTCCCCAAATATTGTTGTTACAGAGTGCATATTAATTCTGCGGAGGTCAAAAATAACAAATTGGATGAACAATATATATGGGAGCTATAGCTATATCTGAACCGATTTCGATCAAATTTGGCATACTTATTTTCAGGTCCAATCTGATGGTACGTGCAAAATTCCATACTATTCGGACTAATATTACACGTTTGGTGCACAATAAAAGGCAAATCGGACGAAGATATATATGGGAGCTATATCTAAATTTTGACCGATTATCTCCAATTTCAATAGGGTTCGTCCTTGGGCCAAACAAAAGATCTTTGCAAAATTTCATCTGGATCGGGCAATAAATGCGACCTGTACTTTGTTTACAAAAATACATGGACAGACGGACAGACGGACGGACGGACATGCATAAATCGACTCAGAATGTGATTCTATGCAGATCATCAAAAGGAACTATGGGTCTATCTCGTTTCCTTCTGCCTGTTACAAATAAATGCACAAAGACATAATACCCTGACCACCTTGTGGTGTAGGGTATAAAAATACGGAATGTAGTCATTATCATCAATCATCAAAATACCGAACCATTATATGGGGGCTATACTAATATGTGGACCTACACAGACATTTTTTTGTGATTTCTATACGAAGACCTGCACAGACAATTTTCTGTCTCAGGTTGTAGTATCCATTACGAACTTCAAATACTAAATTTGAAACAATTCCGGTGAATAATGTCGCTAAAATCATCAAAATACCGAATATCGTAAGGTACCATTAAATGGGGCCTATACCAAAACGTAGACCTTCATACCAAAAGTCCTGCAGGCATAATATACATTTGAGTTAAATTTTATCAACCGACATCGTTTCGTTCGGAAGCTAGAGTACGGACGGACATCACTAAATCGACAAAGAATTTTCAAAAAAAAAAAATATATATATATACTTTGTGGGGTCTAAAATGTATGTTTCGAGGTGTTACAAACGGAATGACAAACTTAATATACCCTCCATATTATGGTGGAGGGTATAAAAGGCTTAACACAAACTGTTGGAACGAATCCTAAATTTTAAGGTGGACTTTCGCAGAAGAAGTTGTGGGTACCTGATAGTAAGCATCTGAAATCGAGTTATTACTCGAAGCGTATAAGTAACGGCGTTCTTCATACGCCATGGCGACTTCAGTGAAAAATTATATAGGAACCTAAAAATTGCTGTGATTTCGACATGGGAAATGCATGCGACTCCAATTTAAATAATTAAAAAAAAGTAAATGTATGTCTTTATTCTTTAATTCAAATTAATTAGGTTAATTAAAATGCTAAGTAAAAATTCCTCCCTGATAAAATAATACCATTAAATAGCAAAAACATTTCCAGTTGCAACAATAACCACTTCTAAGTTCCCAAGTGGCCAGACACTTGACCACATAAACCCATTTCATTCGATGGCAAAGCTACGTTAGCTTTCCTTACTAGAGCATGATATCCCCCCCCATCAATTTTGCTCCCAGGAATTACCCTTTTTAGGGGAATAATTTATGGCCCGTTGTAAAATATTCCAGCGAGCAATTTATGGGGCTCTCATTAAATATCAACAAACACCGCTCGGTAATCTGGGCCAAAAACTAAACAAACAATGTTCGATAAATGGATTAAGTTTTAATGAGATGCACTTGCAAAAAAGAGAGAAGAAAAAAAAACAACAACAACGACAACGTATGAACGAAGGAGGGAAAACGTTAATGGAAATGTGCACAGGTATGGCATAATTGCGGATACGAGTGGCAAACTAGGGAAACGGCAAGAATTCTCTAAAGTTTCCATACTTTGTTCTGTTTTTTATTTTATTTTGTGTGTTTCGTTTTCTGGAACGAGACACACTTTTTTGTCGGGGTTATGAGGTCAATCGGCAAAATTGCGAAGCCCGAAAGGGAAACGTAAACCGATGTTCGATAACGAAGGCAATGACTAGGGTATCAGCCATGAGATTGGGATCAGCCCTGAATTGAAAATAAAATGAGTTAAGCCGTAGACACTGCATGGAGAGGGAAGTAGGAACCACACATCGTTTACACTGTTGTTGTTGGGATTCGTGTTTTGTTTTGCTGCTTATTAGTTGCTCAGGGGAAAGAAGCGAACGTTTTTACGCCCTCAGTCATATGTCTACAGAGGACATATTTCATTTAATACAGCCAAAATGTGCCAAATGGAGTTTGGAGTCGATTTAGCCATGTCATTGTGTCCGCCTGCCTGTGCATACAATAAATCTGAGGAATAGTGAAAGGCACCAATAATGACCTCAATATCCAATTTCGGGATTCAAGCGGCAAATTTAGTATAATTTAGTACTTTTCGTACAATCACCCATATACGAACAGAAGATATAGATTTTCAGATCAATCCTAAGATCCAATCCCAAAATTGTTGCCATACTTTTCGTACAAAGCTCA